CCTCCCATGCACAGACCAGGGTAGGGACAGTAGGGAATGGATCCGGAGGGGTAAAGGAGATATGAAGATACGTAGCTTACATCACTTTTGCCTCATCATTGTCCAGATGAGAGATCCATAGTGACTCCTTATGCTATATTGGGCTAAACTTGATTCAAGAAATTCTACAACAACCCACCCTAATTCAGCCTTCTCTCTTCCTATTTTATAGAGAACAGGCATTCCACTCACATAAGCTGGTATCCTTCATGGCTGTTTTGTATATATTGTACGTCTGCAACATACAGTATTTTAAACTCTTAGTCATAGATTTATGTTACTCAGAAATCCAAGTCCAAAGGGACTTTTATGCTTCCAAGGGTAAGCATCCTCCCAAGCCTCTCCAGGGCAATTGGCAGTCTGCCAGTTGGCAGCCTATGATGGGAGCCATGATAGCCTGGCTGGTGTTGTGACAGCAAATGGACCCTCTCACTGCTGAGGTCATAATCTAAGAAGGCTCTGCTATAGTGGCAAGAGCCCACTTGCTACTCTTGCCACTAAAGCAGAGCCCAAGCTCTGAATATAGAGACTAAGCTTAAAGTCTGAGTGGGTTTTATCTCCAGTTGCGGACTAGACGAGTTACTTCTGCCCCCTGCATCTGTCTTTCCTCATTTGTAAGACAGGGATCATTCAAACAGGACTTCACTGTGGTAAGGATTAAGTGAGATAATGAATGTAAAGAGACTAGCACATCTCTGCAGGTACTCAACTGGGAAAAGGTCTGTGTTTTGGTCACCTTTAATCTCTGTACCTAGCACAGTTCCTGGAACATAGTAGGTGCTTGGTAATTGTTTCTTGGGCTGAACAGGTGGGAGCTGGTGGTGTTAGCCAGTTCTAAGGGAGCTAACACTCTCTCTCTTCTGTCTTTGCCAGGCTTCTTTTGCTTACCACTGAAGGCTTCTGAGGGTGACTGTGCATCAGTAATCCACTCAACAACTACCTCCCCAGCACCCTCTTTGTATAAGGGTCTGTGATGCCTTAGCTTAAAGTCAACAGTAGAAAAATCTCATCTCATTTTATTTCCCATGTCTGTGTTTACACTGCCCTCTGGTGCATACTTACGGGACACACATTAAATGAGGGTTTGTGACCTTTTCTTGACATTGGGTAAGAGATGCTCCCTCTGTGTGGACTGTTTGCAATGCTGCTGGGGGAGGAGTGTTTAAAATGCATTTCCCCTCCCCCAATTTAGGTTACAGCACTTGAAGCTTACCAAACACAGAAGTTTTGAGCAATGTTTTTGACTCCTTAGCCATTAAATGCCATCCTTTTGGGCTCAAATTTCTCTCCACCACAGGCACTTTTATTCTGCCAAGACCCAAGAGGAGTTGGGTACAGTTTATTTGATATCTTTCCCTCTGCTGTCTGGTTTCCTCTAATTCCTGGGGAATCTAATTCTTATGGCTGTCTCAGCTGCTCTCAAGGGTCTGGGGTCACAGGCAGTGTGTAAGCCAGGGCAGAACCAGAACCACCCGTATCTATCCAGGACCTGCAGCAGCCTGCCCCCCACTTCACTTTCTTCCCCCATTGCCTTGGCTGTCTGCCTTCCCTTCCCGGAGCCAAGATAGGTCACTGAAAGCAAAGTGGGATCCCATAGGGAGAAGGGATGAAGGGGGAGAGTAGGGGGTAAAGTTGAGTCCACCATCCTCTGACTTCACCATGAAACCTGTCAGAAGTATCCACCTTTCACGATTAAGTTGAATTATATGAAATTGCTGATATGCCACAGTTTCTGACCATCCTCCACCCTTTCCTCTGCTCTCAAACACTGGCTTCAGGGGCCGTTGTGTGTGGGAAGGTTGTGGTCCCAGTGCTGGGCACCCATGGGCTATGTGAGGGACCACGTCTGGCAGAGGCAGCTCCACAGCCCCAAGAACTCTTTATGTGCCCCACCAAACCTTGAGGAAAGCTACTGGAGCAGACCTGGGATAGCAAGCATCTAAAACTTGCTCAAGGGATGAGGGCAGAGTGGCCTGGGAGATACTAAGCAGCAGAGTAAGTCATAGTTCATAGGACTCTTTGGTGATGTAAAAGAGTTTCTCTTCTGAGAGTCACTCTTCTGTCTTGTGATCACTGGACTGACACATAGGTCTTGATATCTTGGAACCCAGTGCAGGTTAGGGACCTGTTCTCTTTCTTCTCAGGAGGATGCAAACAAGAGAGGGAGGGGCTCAGCTCGTTTTACTCATCTATCCATCTACTCATTTACTCTTTCATTAAACAAATGGTTATTGAGCATCTGTGTATATCAGGTACTGTGGTAGGTGCTTGGTATATAGCAGTGGACAAAACAGGAAAAAATCTCTGTATAGCCATTAATGACCACAGTTTACTGTTGCCCAGCTAACATTTCTGTTACAAAGGTATTACCTCTTCTACCAAGGGATTAGTAGACGGATGAAGTGTTTTTTAACTTTATTAAGGGGAAATGCTCAGGATATAAAATCCTCCCCAGAGGATTGGTTGCAGGACCCCCTTCCCATACCAAAATCTACTCCTGACATAAAATGGCACAATATTTGTACCATTTGTAACCTATGCAGTCCTCTCATACAGTACTTTAAATCTCTAGATTTCTTATAATACCAGATGTAATGTAAATGCTATGTAAATTGTTATTATACTGTCTTTTTTGTATTATGTTTTATTATTGTATTTTTTTTTTTTT